GAACTAGCTAGTTCGAATTAGGCTTAATCCTCGTAAAATGAGGTTTTCCTAGTTCGAACTAAGTGCTCCGTTAGTTCGAATTAAATTCAAACTAACGGAGCGCTAGTGTAGCGCCTATGAAAGTTAATTCGAACTAACATCCGTTAGTTCGAACTAACTTTGTAGTGTAGGCATACCCTTATTCCTCTTAAAATCAGGAATAAGGGATCTTTCGGAAAAGGCTTTATTTTCCGAAAGATCCCCGTATACACTGGCGCTTTTTGCCGGCAAAGCCCCGAGCCGGAAAAAAGCGGCAGCCATGTTCATGCAAATGAAGCGGGGAAGATTTAAATCCCCGCTTCATTTGCAATTGTGCTGTGGCTAATCTGCATCCCTTTTCCGCAAAAGGGGTGCAGTCTAGACACAGCCGAGAGCTACGTCTACACTGGCATCCTTTTCCGGAAATGCTTAAAACGGAACAGTTTTCCGTTATAAGTATTTCTGGAAAAAGCACGTCTACATTGGCAGGATGGTTTTCCGGAAAAGCACTTTTTCCGGAAAAGCGTCCATGCCAATGTAGACGCGCTTTTCCGAAAAAAAGCCCCGATTGTTATTTTCGCGATCGGGGCTTTTTTGCGGAAAAAAAATCGGTGCTATCTACACTGGCCCTTTTCCGGAACAGTTTTCCGGAAAAGGACTTTTGCCCGAACGGGAGCAGCATAGTTTTTCCGGAAAAGCACTGATGATTTTACAGTAGATTGTCAGTGCTTTTCCGGAAATTCAAGGGGCCAGTGTAGACAGCTGGCAAGTTATTCCGGAAAAGCGGCTGATTTTCCGGAATAAGTGGCTCATGTAGACACAGCCCATGTGTTTAGTCAGGGGTGTAAGAGAAGAGAATGAGTGAAGTGTATGTGGGCCCTCAACTCTCAGGATACTTTCCCAGAGCATTTGCGTGGTTGACTCTGCTTCATAACTGGGGGCCCCATCTTTATATATTTAAATGTTTGGTCTCTTTTCAAGTGAACAGTTTGCTGTTTATTAATATGGATATTTAAGTTTATTTATTTCGTGTAATCCAATTCTTGCTGCACAGGAAAGCTTCTGTGGGACATCTGTCATTGTGCCAGAACTTGAAGGGGCCCTTTATTTGAAGGAGGATGGAAAAAAGTCCTGGAAGAGGCGCTATTTTCTTCTACGAGCTTCTGGAATTTATTACGTCCCCAAAGGAAAAACCAAGGTCAGGAAATCAAAGACATCATGTTAGCAGTAAAGCAATTCATGAAGGTGAAAGTAAAAAGCTCCTGAAGTGACATTTTTTAGAACAATGGCTGGTGCATCTGAGACAGATTTTCCTTTGACTGTGACACTTGTGCAAATATTAAGATGTAGTCACAGGAATCCTGTAGAGTTCTCCCCATTTTTGTTTCTGCAAATAGGTAAAAACATTGTGTGAAATCTTGCCCCTCTTGAAGTCAGCGCAGGGGAAAAAACCCAATGTTCTTCAGCTGGCATTTTGCTACCAATAATGCCTCTACTTCAGATCTGGTTCCTTGTGGTAGGGAATTTAAGAAACTTGCAAACAGTCTGACTCTGTAAAGCAAAATGGAAGTACAGAAAACCTGATCTTGTTTATAACATGACTCCGTTGAAAGTTATAGTCCAGTTTTTATAGTCTGTTTGTAATCAACTTTCCGTGCTAACAGATGCTGCAGAGAAGTGTTCTGAAGTCCTTGTGGTGTTATATGCCAAACATTTTTCCTGAAGTGATCTTTGCCTAGAGAATATGTTGTGCCTTTTCAACTTTTTAAGGCTGCCCTGTGTAGAACAAGAGGTGAGACAGAGGCATTCAGGTTGACAGAATCCAGTACAGTGACATTTACCATTACCTGGCATTGAAAGAGTTTGAACTGCCAACCTGCAGTAGATAAGCAAAGGAGGCTGAAGTGCACTGAAGGTGGCTCATTGCCTCCCATTTCTAGAGTGACATCCTTGGACCTGACTCTTGGGTACTGGAAGCTATTGTCAGTTTTATATTCTGACAAGTGCTGCCGCTTATGGCTCTTAATGCTTCAGAAGCCTGTGCCAGTGACTAAGCCCATGCACAGAGTTAATGATGCATACCAAATAATGGGTCTTAATTCTTTTGTCATTCCCTGAATAAATCACAATGAAAGAAATAATCAGTTTAAAAAATAAGAAACAAGTCTGCCACTGGCTGGTAGAGGCATGCAATGTCACTTCTCAGATGACGTAGATAGAAACCAGGAAGGACCAAGGAGGACCCAAAGCCAGGCAAAATGCATCATAAAGTAGGAGACTGCTCTGCTTGCACTGCAATTTGTAGAATGGCTGTGTCTGGTCCTCCGGACTTTCCATTCCTCAATGAATCTCTCATCCATACAGCACTCTTACCAAAGACTAGAACTGTGATGCTTGGAAGGATTTTCTCCAACCACAATGCAGATTAGTGAAATACTCATTCCAAGAATGACAGTCTATGAATTTGGTCTCATTTGTACTAGCAAAATGTAAATAAAGAAAATCTGATATACTGTACCTTGGGCTATGTTTTACAAAATAAAATTACAATTTATATTGATTATTTAAAACATATCTAGGCCTGTGAAAAGAAGCCTGTAGTTAACTTGCATACCCTGATACTTATGTGTATGCTTATTTTGTGAGTGCAAGTCTGGCACTAGAACTTGGAGAAAGTGTCCTTAACTGTAATTGTTTCACTATTTCCATACCAGCCATTGCTTTAAACCATTAGTCCACCTAAGAATTCTCCATCCCACAAACTGATATTAACAGAAAATCCAAGAAGCTAGCTGTACCAAACAAACCAATTACTTGTTTAAAACTTTTTTCTTTAAAGTATGCAGACATGTTTTGGCTGGTCATGCACTAGAAATAACATGGCTTTGCAAAAATGACTTGTACATGACAATGACAATGACAATGACAATGACACTTCCCTTACTTATCTGTGATGATAGATTAGGGTTGGAACAGCCTTCAGAAGGTCATCTAGTCCAACTTCCTGCTCAAAGCAGGACCGACCCCAACTAAATAATTTCAGTGAAAGCTTTGTCAGCCTGGCCTTGAAAACCTCTAAGGATGGAGATTCCACATGCTCCCAGGAAACCCATTCCAGTGCTTCATCCCTCTCCCCCAGTGAAGTAGTTTTTCCTAATATCCAACTTAGACCTTCCCCATTGCAACTTGAGACCATTGCTCCTTGTTCTGCCATCCATCACTACTGAGAACAGCCTCTCTCCATCCTCTCTGGAACCTTCCTTCAGGCAGTTGGAGACTGCTCTCAAATCCCCCCCACTCATTCTTTTCTTCTGCAGACTAAATAAACCTAGTTCCCTGAGCCTCTTCTCATAAGTCATGCACCCTAGCACCCTAATCATTTTTGTTGCCCTCTGCTGGATTTGCTCCAGTTTTTTCTCATCCTTTTTGTAATGAGGGCTGAAAGCTGGACACAATACTTCAGATATGGCCTCCACCAATGCTGTACGGAGGGGAATAATCACATCCCTCGATCTGCTGGCAATGCTCCTACAATAAAGCTCATTATGCTATTTGCCCTGTTAGCAACAAGGGCATACTGTTGACTCATATCCACCTCCAGCTTGTTGAATATTTCCCTTTAAATAACTGTCTGGATTGCACTCAACCATGACTTTTTTCTTAAGAAAAATTTGAAAAATAATGAATAGTCTAGTAGCACATAAAAGACTAACAAAACATGTAGATGGTATCATGAGCTTTCATGGGCACAACTCCACGAAATAAGGGTGGGGCAACGCCCAGAAAAGTCGTTAGAATGATAAACAACAATGAAAACAATCTCCAGATAAACATATTGCAAAGTGACTTATTACAACATGATGCAGCAAAATCCATAGATTTGCATGAGAAGAGATTCCTGTACAGATCCAGTACAAAACAGATCCACTATAAAATAGTCTAAAATTAAATTAACTATTACTATTACATATTCTGCCATAATACAAAAACAAATCTTACACTCTTAAATTAAAGAACAAAACAATCCTAAGTGTAAAAAAGTGAGAATAGTGAGTCACAAGGACCATTGTCTATTCCTGCCTAAACATTAATAACAAACATAAACAGCCTGCTTAATTCATCTTTACCAACAGGACTAGGCCATTCCTTTCTACTAGTCAGGCCATGTCTAGTATTCCAGGAATAGACACTGCTCCATCAAAATTCCAGACAAGATGAGATAATAGCATGAATCCTGCTCTTTGGACCACCTTTGCATTAATTATAACTCTCTCCATATCTGTAGCCACATGGCTAAAATGTAACCCTATGCAATGTAATGTGCCTCTGTAACTTGCCAGCCACTCCTTTCTGAGGCTGTCTACACTGCAATGATCTATTGGAAAAAGGTACGCAAATTGTGGAGCGCAATTTGCGTACCTTTTTCCAATAGATCATTGCAGTGTAGACAGCCTCAGAAAGGAGTGGCTGGCAAGTTACAGAGGCACATTACATTGCATAGGGTTACATTTTAGCCATGTGGCTACAGATATGGAGAGAGTTATAATTAATGCAAAGGTGGTCCAAAGAGCAGGATTCATGCTATTATCTCATCTTGTCTGGAATTTTGATGGAGCAGTGTCCATAAATGCACTATCAGTGAGAATAAAATAAATCCAAAAAGTATCTTAATGAGAGTATAACAACAAGCAAGAATGTTACACTAAAAGATGACCACCCCCCCAACCCTGAGGAGAAAAACTCTTTGAGGTGTCCATCAATTTAGTAAGTAACTGGACATATTCAGAAAGATAGAACTGCTTTTGCATTAACATGTATGAAGCTTATACATTGTACTCAGAAATCCTTAGCACAGCCTGCTAACAAACACCTTGTTGCCATAGCAACACAGTAAGAACAAATAATAGGTAACTTGCAGTGGTAGACAGAAAGGTGCCAGTGCATGGAGATGAGGTGGGAGGGGGGCTGAAATGGTCTTTTTAAAGTAAATTTTGAAGCAGAAACAAATGAAATGTGGCTCATTTACTTGTGTGTAAATTTACACACACAGATTGTACAGTGTAAAGGAAAGGCAGCTGCTTAGAACAAAAACTATTTAGATTTTAGCCTCATTTCCCACTTAGTACAGCAGGAGCATGATTGCAAGGACTACATCTCTTAAAATCAATTAAAGCTTTTTTTCCTACTAGGCACCATTATTCAGTAAGAGTCACAGGTTACTTGGAAACAGATGACTTGGAAACAGAACAAGGGATTAAAAGCATAGCGAAACTCAGATTTATGTGGAATATAGTGACTCTAAAGGTGTATTGACCTTTCCCTATTTATCGTAAAGGTTACTACAGTTTAAGAGCAACTCAAATACTTATTCTCTCCAGTTTGATAAAATCCACAACAATTATAAGGAGATTCAGCATCAAAGCAGTTTGGGAAAAGATCCTTGAATGTGTGTGGCATCATAATTCCTTGTAACAGAATGTTTGGTCTCCATTTTTTAGACATCCCGGGATTTGGCTTGCTTTATACAGTTCGAGAATGTGAATGTTTATTATGGTATTCAGTACAAACTGAAATTCAAGGCACCTACAGATTACTGCTTTGTCTTAAAGGTATGTACAAGAGAAGTCTTTTATGCTAATGTGTGCTCTAACTGCTGCCATATAGAGATATGGTAAAGACCTGATCTTGTAAGGTGCAGAGTGCTTCCTGCGAAGTTATTGCATACCCTCAACTCCTAGTCACTTTGGACCTATTCAGCAACATACCGTTAGGATGTATGTAACTTTAAGCACATAAGTAGTTGCCCCGAGTACCTTGTTGAATTGGGGTGCGAAGATGATGCTTAACATCTTGCAGGAATAGGCCCATCACATGTCATGCCTTAAAACACCATTCTGTGAGGCAGGAGAAGAGCATGATGGGTCAGACCCACTCGTGTAACTACTATAGTCCAGTTGTCGGAGAAAGTATTGGATCTCCCCTTATTGCTTCTCTAAGTGAGGAAATGAGGGACTCCAAGCTTCTGTCCCTCTCAGGGAGATAAGGAGATGCCCCATTGCCACTGTATTCCAAATGGAGAGGTGAGCTCCTAGCGCAGGGCCAGAACTAGGGTTGCCAGGTGTCTGGTATTGACCCAGTACTTTTTCCAGTCACTTCAGGGTTGCATTAAACAGTCCAGAGCACTGAGGAAGCTATTCCTTTCAGTGACATTTTTTCCAGTTGAACTGTTCAGATTCCTCAGGAGATAATGAATGGAAAAGCTAGTTGACTAGTATCTTAGAGGTTTCTCAAGCAGGATGATTCAGAAAGCATCTGAGGTGATGGAACAAACAGCTACTGCCTAATGCCCACTACTGTTAGATAGAAACAAGCCCAGCTGGAGCTAACTGAAAGGAGCTCAGGTGGCTAATCAGCATCTACCAGAAAGCTAAAGTCACATTTAGCTGCCCCTATCAATTCCTGAGCAGTAAACTGAAACTAATGTCTTTTGGAACCCTAGGAAGGCAGTGCAGTTTAGGGAAAGGGCTCTGGCCTAGACTTGTGGATAGTCAAAGTGTAAGTGTCCTTAAGCATTTGAAGAACCATAAATCTTGAAAGATTTTTCTCCCCTCTTACCCACTTGGCCTATGCTAGGCCATAACCCTCAATAAAATGAGACTAACCACTGGAACAGGCCTTTTATGTGTGAATCAGGCCTCCGATCAGGCCTTGGTTCCTTAAAGAAAGAGTTACACACAAGAAAAATAACAAAACCTAATAAAAATAAAGCTTCAGAAGAAAGCAAGCCCTTTCAGGGGCTGCATGTCAAAGGCTATGTCAAGACTACAAAGAAAAGTCAGAAAAAGATACGCAATTTGCGAACCGCAATTTGCTTATCTTTTTCTGCTTTTCTTTTGAAAGAGGCTTTTGCAAAATGTGGCACCTCTGTACAGTGCCACATTTTGGAAAAACCTCCTTTTTCAACACATTTCTTCTTCCTCATAAAACGAGGTTTACAGGGATGGCAAAAGAGCGTGTCCGCTTTTCCAAATTTTTTTTTGGAAAAGCAGACATGTTCCTTGGACATGGCATAGCTTTTCTGGGATATATCCTGGAAAAGAGCTGCAGTTTAGATGTAGCCTAAGCATGCAGTTAATTCCATCTTCTTCAACTAACCATTACTTAACACTGGCCAAAATTTAAAGGGCATCACCCTTTATCTTAATAGCAGACCTTTTCCCTTTTGAGGCCAAATAGGGGCATTGCACCCTTCAGTTCTATTCCTCATTTTATACCAAAGATGGGGTGCTGGTATTATGAGCCCTTCTCCAAACAAACCAGCATTAATGCAGTCTCTGGCCACTCATGCATATGACAGAACACTAAGGGTATGTCTAGACTACATGGCTTCGTCGACGGAGCCATGTAGATGAGTTTACTAGACATAGGAAAATGAAGCGGTGATTTAAATAATCGCTGTTTCATTTACATCAAAATGGCCGCCGCGCTTTGCCGATCAGCTATTTGGCGGCACAGCGGGGCAGTCTGGATGCGCCGCGGTCAACAAGGGTATGCCTCATGAAATGAGGTTTACCGGAGTGGTCGACAAAGGTTTCCCTTGTCGACCGGGGTACGTCCAGACCGCCCCGTTGTGCCACCAAACAGCTGATCGGCACAGTGCGGCGGCCATTTTGATGTAAATGAAACAGCGATTATTTAAATCACCGCTTCATTTTCCTATGTCTAGTAAACTCATCTACATGGCTCCGTCGACGGAGCCATGTAGTCTAGACATATACTAATAGTACAGTCCTACAAAACTCTCCTGATCTCTGATACAGACAAGAGAAAAGTGATGCATTTGGAAACACTTCACTGATATTTGTAGCCACACAAGGATACCACTGCTGAAAGAAATAACTTGTAGTATCCTAGCTTTTCAAAGCACCCGCTTTTGTTGACAGGTCTGACTACTGAAATGAAGGAAAGGCAAAAGCTTGTGCTCATATTTCTCCAGGAGTCCATTTTCAGCAACCACTAGAAGAAATTACCTCTTACATCAGTAGTGAGTGTACAAGCTGAGAGTGTCCAGCACCATGTAGAATAGCACCTATACAATATAAACATAAAGCCGCTGTCCCTGAAATGTGGCTCTCGTATTAGAGATTGCATTGGGATCATCAGCATTCATTTCATACCTTTAGGTTGAAACCCTTCCAAAACCAGAGGCGCTCACGTTTACAAAAGGGGCAGTTCATCTCCTTGGTGAAATTTAACAGAAACCTTGATTAGTGTTTATTGTGTGTGAGAGAGAGGATATTCACCAGTTCCCAAGCTGGTTATCTCATGCCATGATGAAAAATCCTTTAAAGCAAACAAATAGCAAGGTAATCTATATGCAAATTGACTGGTTTAGTCAGTCTGAAGTGTCTGATACTGAGTGAATTTAATTATGGTTTATTGGTGCTGGTTTTGCTTGAGTAATCTGAAGCTAATGGTGCATAATACTGAATTAATCTAGGATGAAACAAAATGGTTTCCTGGGGATAAACTGAGACAAGGGCATCATCATACTTCATTTCTGAAGCTGGGTACATTTTCCTTTGTAGCCCATCTAGCAAAGCAATTTGCGTACCTTTTTCCAATTGTTTTTTTGGAAGAGGCTTTTCCGAAATTTGGCCCGTCTACACTAGGCCAAATTTTGGAAAAACCTCCTCTTTTGGAAGAACAAGAAGACAGGGCTCCTGAAAGAGCGCATCTGCTCTTCTGCAAAAAGTGTCAGAGGAGCAGACGCGTTCCTTGGACGTGGCAGAGTTGTGGGTCAATGCTCAGTTAACACTTTGCAGTAGTATTGTGTGAGTAAGTAATGTTACACATTTTTGAGCAAGGAAATTAATGAGATGCCTGAATATCAAGGGTGGAATTTCTGGAGAGTGGGGTCAGAGCAGCCACACGCTCCAGGAGGATCCCATTCCTCAGACGCTAAGAGAGTGAGGGTAAAGTACTTGCATTCCGTGCATGCCTCTCACACTTGGCTAGACCAGGGCAGTGCAAGAATTTTGGGACGGGTACAGTAGCTCAGAAACAACCCCAGACGTAAGCCAAATGTCCCATTCCAGAAAGGAGGGACTGGAGCCTGGCTCTGAGGGGCCAGAGGAAAGTAGCACAATGGAGACAGGGACCAGGGGGAACAGACTTACCCCTAATACATAATGGACCTCAGGTTGGGAAAAGCAGCAGAGACTGTGTCCTCTTGAGAGTTCAATTTATAACTGTGTTGATATGTGGTTTGATTATGACATGGTGAGCAGCATGGTGGGATCATTTTGAGACCCCCACATTTTAAAAGGACTCCAGTCGTGGGCTGTAAGTAACCCTAGTTTTGAGCAATTTGCCCTGAAAAGACACTCTCAGTGGTGCCCAGACCCGACTGGAATATTACAGTGGCGTAGTCATGCTAGGATCCACAGAACCAGATCAGTTGGGCTTTGGACCAAGACCCCACACTATTCTAAATTTGATTTTGGCATCGAGAGTTTGGTTGACTAAAGAGCAGCTGCACTGAGCCAGCTACAGTATGAGGGTCTTTGTAAAAAAGCCCTGCAAAACTTGTGCTCTGAAAGAGGGAAAAAAGCTTTTGGAAGAAAGCTTCTAGGGTGTGTCTAGACTACATGCCTACCTCAATGGAGGCATGTAGATTAGACAGATAGGCAAAGGGAAATGAAGCCACGATTTAAATAATCACGGCTTCATTTAAATTTACATAGCTGCCGCGCTGAGCCGACAAACAGCTCGGCTCCGCGCGCTAGTCTGGACGCACCGCGCTGACCTGAAAGCCTTTTATCGACATCCCCCTTATGCCTTGTAGGATGAGGTTTACAGGGGATGTCGATAAAAGGCTTTCATTTCAACAGGGGAGCGTCCAGACTAGTGCCCAGAACTGACAAACAGCTGATCGGCTGTTTGTCGGCTCAGCGCGGCAGCCATGTAAATTTAAATGAAGCCGCGATTATTTTAATCACGGCTTCATTTCCCTTTTTCGAATACACAAATCTACATGCCTCCGTCAACGGAGGCATGTAGTTTAGACGTACCCCTAATGAGAACTGAGATCTTTGTTACTGGCCAGAGATGCTGCAGAAGAATGAGAGTGCAAGATCCAGTGAGAAGACTGCAACTTAAATATAAAGAAGAGATTGAAGAGTTTCATCAGCTATCCAAGCTGAGAAGGGCTAAGGCAGACAGAGAACATGCAGAGAGAATGGCAAAAATAGAGACAGGGAATCTTCTCCAGGAGTGGAGGGAAAAAATGAGCTCTCCCAAAATAGATCCTCTGGGTTCATCATAACGTGTGAGTAGGAAAAAGTTTAGGTAGTCCGTAAGGTTTATTGTTTTCATTGTTTGGGGTTTGGAAATTATGTCTGAACTGGTTAATTGTTTGGGTTTTTTTCCCCTCTCTGTAACCAAGAAGTAATCCCAGGGAGAATCCCTGAGCTTTGGTTCAATTCAGGGCTTTTAAGACCAATCCATTTAGGATGCTTGCAACGATAGTCTTGTTTTAATAATAAAAGTGGGGTTGGTTTTTTTTGTTAATTGGTACTGGCTGATGTTTTGTGTTCTTAAACTTACA